TGGCCCTGGCGCGGGAAGTTCGCCCGTTACACAATCGTACGGCACACGGGGGACCAGCTTGATTATTCCGCTCGATTATGGGCAGGAGAAATAAGTGGCGAACCATCTTACCGGGTCGCAACTGTCTATAAAGGGTAACGACGTTACACAGCGGCGGTACGGGTCCCGCGTCGAGCATGAATTCGAATTGCACCCACGGTTGACGCGCGCTCCGCGCGAAATTACAATCTAAGCAAAGTTTCAATCTGACCCGCGCGAAGACTACTACTGGCCTGGCTTCTAATAAACGGACCGAATGGTCCCGCTCCTCGCACGTCGTTACCATTTCAACTTATCGAACAGCTTCCCTTCTCATGGAAGCTGACCATTCTAAATTAAAAGAAAATACTGGAAAAATTACAATTAAATAGATCATCATCGATTAGAAAAATAGAGAAGCCATAGATTCGCTGTGTATGTTGAAAATGCCAAGCTTAGCTTTATAGAAAGTTACCATAATAGTGTGAGTAGCTTGACAATAGTATTAAGCCACGCAATTTTTACCTTCGAAACTACCTTCTTTTTCAACTCTTTCTTCCCTTTCTCCATTCTTCACCTTTCTATTATATTCTTCGTCTATGTACACTAGATTACTAGATTACTAACAAAAACTATAAGGATTTATTTGGTCAATAATAATTTATTTTGTCTCGATACAAACGCTCATCACCGACTGCCCTTGCACCTTTTTTTTCCTTTCGCTCAAAAACAACGTAGCATCGCAGAGCAGCCCCCCTTTCCGCACACACACACACACACACACATCCTTAACACTAGAACTACGTAACAGTCAAAATAACTGGTTTCGATTCGTTTGTTTCGCAGTTACCAATACCTTAAAAGCATTGAATATTTGAAATGATTTTGGAAATGTATAGTTTCACTTGAGTACTACGACGAATATCCAAATTCCAATTTTGCACACGCCTACCCAATGGTTCATAAAAACCCACGCAAGACACGGAGACGACAGATGTACAAGATAGATTCAAGCTAGACAAACGAGACGGAGTACACAGACGTCGTAGACACTCGCTGACGAGTATTACCGAATTCTCTTAATAAACAGCAAGCTATTTCCACCGAAGTAAATATTACAGTCCACTTCCAATCGGTCGCACGAAGTTAAGTCGGCGTGCGGCGTACGGGTTTCACTGTTAAAATTCCGAAATAGAAAACGCGCACTCGACGACCCTCGGCCCAGTAAAACTGGCCGAACGACTCGCAACGGTAACGGACACATTTGTACAAGATTCTCGACTGAAGAACGGGTATACATTCGAAAGTACTCAGGAAGTCGGCGCAGTTCCGCGAAAGTTCACGAATTAAGGTTGCCCGATCCCTGCGCCCCGCCCTTATCGCGTCCGCCCCCCTCGCCGGGGAACCGGCGAAAAAAGAGAGCTCTCAGTATCGGAACGGTCGAATTCCGAACAGGTTTCGAAACCGCGGCGCTCGTATTCCTAAAGAAACCGAAGTTCCCGCAGCGGCTCGAGGACCGTATTTCACCGCGCCGAAACTTTCAATCCTCGCGGAGGCTCGAGGATCCCTGACCGCGTTCCGGAAGAATTTCAAATTCACTCGCATCCGGCCCCCGCCCCGCCTACCTCGCCGTGATACCCGCTCGATATCGCGTCGGACGATTTACATTCTCGTTTCGGATCCATCCCGCTTCTAACCGCAACAGTTCCAAATTCTCCGGTGACGGTCGATCATAATTCGAAGGGAAAGCAGCGCGAGCGTGAAACATTCCGGTTCGAACGAACGCTTCGTTCTTGACGCATCCGTGTTTAGTGCGAATGGCACGCGAATTCTGTTAGGAAGGAGAATGTTTGTATGAGAGACGAGAATTACTTTAGTGTTTCGAAAATCGAGTGTTGAACATTGAATGTTTAGAGAATAATTGAGATTCTGTTTGATAACGAAGAGTAGTATATAAATTCATATATACTATCTGTCATTATCTATTTTTCAATCTGAAATGAAAGAAATCAATTTGCTCAAGTGTCTCTTCGAGTATCTGTTGAACATTGAATATTTGGGGAATAATTGAGATTCTGTTTGATAACGAAGAGTAGTATATAGATTCATAACGTGAAGTTAGTTTTGGTTATTTATGATAGAAAACAATAGCATTGCTCAGTTTTAGAACGATGAACTACAGTCATCTATTTTTCAATCTAAAACGAAAGAAATTTGCTCAAGTTTCTCTTCTCCCTAATACTGAATAAAGTATCAAATATCGTATTTATTTACAAAATCTAGCATTATTCGTCAGAAACAGAGGAATACTGGATTAAGATTCGATTTCGTCGAAGTGGAAGGCTAACGAGGATTCGTTCAGCCAGCGTAAACGCTCGATTCGAAATCCAGAGGAGGCATTGTTCCTCTTAGTCAGCTTTTTCTTCGTGGCAAGTCTCTCACTCATCGTTCTCTCTCTTCATTCCGCTTCCCTCTCGCTTTCTCTCCTCGTTCCTCGCGAGAGCTTGGATACGGCTCAACGGAACACCGCCGACGGTATCGAACACGCAACAAGTAGAAGTTGGCTCGTTTTCAAAGAAGCTGCCGGAATTCATCAAACCGCCGCCGCGGCTGTTTCGCAGCTGGTCCACTCGAGACACCGTTCGCAACCAGTGGCGACGACGGGGCCGATCGACGACACTCTGTCACCGTTTCCGTCGCGAGAATTCCCGACGCCTCTTCCCATTCTGCGCGACCGTCCTTTCGACGGAGAAACTCGAGGCGACGGACGCTTTTCCCACGAAAGCTTCTCGAACACTTGCTATACAGCTTCGTGTCTCGACGCTGGAACCACCGAGCAATTACAGCGAATTCTTTATGAATTATTTCTTACAGAAATTAGGAAACTTACTGTCGCGTTCTCGTAAATTCTTGAATTTATCTTACTTTTCGTTCAATACGAAACGCGTCTTAGATGCAATTTATTTTTCAATTTTTCTAACTGGCAGCTTTGTGGTGTCAATAACAACAAAGGAAACATTTTGAAACTGATCATTCTTAGTTAGCGTTTAGCTAGGTTCTCACTGAATTTCAAAAGTAGAATTTTCGAATTTTCAGTTTCAACTGCTAACAGTAAATCTCAGATATTTCTCGGATTGTGTAGTTTCAGAGTAGAATGTTTCTATGAGTAGATGTTCAGTGGAAACAGGTTGCAACATGCAGCGACAGAAAGTTGCTCGATGTTGTTTCAGCGAGGACATAGCTTGAGGAACGGTGACCGTTCGAGAGGATCGATACGCGAGGAATTTCACGCGCCGGGCGGACAAAGTTAGGGGCGGACGCGGACGGATTATCGAGTCCGCCGGGTAGTTTCGCAGTTTTCCAAGTTTAAGTGTCTCACGAGCACGAACTGCAGCTGCCCGATGATAGCTCTCTTAACACATTTTTCGAAAGTTTTTCTCGCTTTTTTTCCGCTCCTTTTTTCCGTCGCACCTCTTCCCCCGTGGCGTTCGTAAACTTTCCCCTGAATTTTTTCCGTTCGCCCCGCTCGCTGAATTCCGACCCGACCCGTTTCTCGACGCGCGCTCCCTTGAAAATATTGAATCGCTCGTTAAAGAGGAAAACAAGTTTGAAACGAAATGATTTCGAGGATATCTGTGTTAGATAAGTAGACGAGATAACGTATTGTCGTTCACTTAAGAACGACGATACACTTTTTGTGGTAGTTTGTGTAGACAATCGAGCTGCTGTGCGAGTTCTGTCGATAGAAAGTACGTTTCAACCCTCTATGGGCCGAATTTTTGTTCATGATTATAACAAAATCTATGCTGTGAAAAATTAATAAATATTCATATATGAATACGGATTAACAATGTATTCAATAGTTTCAATAATTCCATCAAACGAATATATTTTGTAACTTTCAATGACGAACTTTCAAGCCTGGGCATGTAAAAGTTGAAGTTAACTGATTAATTTTATTAACTACTCTGCCGTGCAAAATGAAATAAATCAACAAGATGCCAATATATTAATATGACTTCAAAGTTACATAGGCCTGCAGAGGGTTAAATTAAATATACGTTAAACTCCCCTCCCTAATGATAAATTATCTTAACACAAGAAACTAAGCATTCGTATTATTCGTACCACAAAATAATCCTGTTCCCTATAACAGCAGATCCACCGAAATCGTAACTCTCCGTTCAGTTTCCACTGAACCAGCGAACAGAACTTGCGCAGCAAAAATCGCAACCCCGGCCACGCTCACCATTAGAAACGTAGATGAACGCCCGCAGCAGTAGCTATTTAGAGGAACGCTTGAGAGCCCATGTAATGATAAAAAATAAATAACCAAAAAGAGCGAAACCAATAGCGAGACGTTGCGCCGCGGACAGTTCAGTGTGGTGCGGAATAG